TAGAAATTAAATATTTCTTTGTCCTAGCATCTTATTCCTTATGGATACAATATCCTTATGACTCTCTGAAGAACTTAATCATATTCATTTTTAAATTTCTTCTGTTTCTTCTACTAATTACTTTCTTGAACAGGTTAATTTGTTTTAATTTGCTCTTTCCTTTTACAATACTGGTTTTCTTCCTGATTCTTGGCATATTTATAGATGCGGACCTAAGATTATAGTTTGAAGTGCTTTTCCTCAGCCAAATAATTGTTTCACTTTCAGCAAACACAAATGCTGATCATGGCATTCTGGTGATTCGAAAGGGAGTGGCTGGTCCCCACAGCCAGAGTGAATGGGTGACAGCACATCTTCAGTTCCTACTTGGAGTCATCTGGATAACACCCTTCTTCTCTGATCCCAGTGTGTTCTGCATTAGAACTCCTACCTCAAAGTAGGTAGGAGCCTTTCTGAGCCTTAGCCTGGTGTTAAAGTCCAGAATTAGGTGCTTCAGAGGTGCGAGGAATAGCTGAACCGTTTCACTCTTTAATTAACTGATCCTTCGATAATCTATTTTTTATCTTCTAGTAATTCCACTGTTCATTTTCTGGTTTTCCAACTCTGCTATTAATCTATTTTTAATATTTCTCCAGTCATTTCAGTGAGATTCTGGAAGAGTAAAAGAATGTGTTCAGTCATCTCTGTTAAGTGATAGGCTCCAGCATGTAGTTTATAATCAGAATCTTTAAAAAAAAATGTCATCGCCTATCTTGCTGATCCTCTGAAAATCTTGAGATTAGGGATTATCCATTTGAAATAAGACTTCTTCATGGACACAGTACTGGACAGGAATGGAAAAGTAATTATTGCAATAGTAATTATGACCCTTTGTAATTATGTGTGGATTTAAAGGAGGAGTACAAACTCTTTGCTACAATATCACATCTGACACTGTTTTAAAAACTTCAAAAAACTCCTCTTTGCATAGGCTGCACATACTCTGGTAATCACTCAGCAAAGGTACACAGTAACTTCTCAGTAAACGTACAGGCTTGTAACTTCCTCTAACCCAGATGAAAATACTGTATTTCAGTGAAGTGACATTGCTTCAGGTGTAGTATTAGAAGTTTAACACCAAACTTCTAAAACCCTCACTTTAAATGACAAAATATCCACATTGATGATTCTTTTTTTTTTTTTTTAAAGATTTATTTATTTGAGAGAGAGCGAGTACCTGTGCAGGTGCATAAGCAGGGGGAGGGGCAGAAAGACAGGGAACCTGACAGGGGACTCATCCCAGGACCCTGAGATCCTGACCTGAGCTGAAGGCAGACACTTATCTGACTGAGCCACCCAGGCACCCCGATGATTCTTAATGAAATCATTTCAAACGATTTTTTTAAAAGTCACATAAACGATGCAACAATTTTAAAACTGTAATTTTGTACTTGTAGGTCTTTAAAAAACTGTGGTAAAAGAAAACTGAGGTTATCAGCATAAACTCACTTAACTTCTACTTCTTCCTAATGCTGTTTCACCCCAAACTTGCCAGAATTCATCCCACTTGAAGAGTACAAGTCATTCTTAACATATTTTGCAATGTTGAACTGTATCCCTGTTTTTTCCTTACCATATTTCCGTTTTCCCAGTTCCCTAAGTTACTTATCTCACCATTTTGCACTGCATGCATGGAGGTGAGCCGCCTCAAATTCACTGAGCAATCAAGTAATCTACATCCACACCCGTTCACATCTCTTTCTTCCGGTCCTAACAGCATTAACGCATCTCATGCTCCCGCCTCCCTGGCTCCTGCCCCCCGGATGAGCCTTTCACTCCTCAGCATCTTCACTATCTTTGTCAAGTTCGTTCCTTTCAATCTATGAACACTTAAGTCACTCTCAGTCTAAAAAAATTCTTTTTGAACTCATCGCTTCCTCTTTTCATCCAGACTCCTTCAAAGAGTAGTCTATACTCACTCTTCAGTGTCCCCTCAGGGTGGCCCTGTCCCCTCAACTTGTCTCAATCTGGCTACTTGTCTACCACTTCACTGAATTGACTCCCTCCAAGGTCACCAGGAACCTAACTGCCAAAGCCAAACACATTCTCTGCAGCATGACACTATTACCTATTTCCTCCTTCTTGAAATGCTATTACTGCTCTCCTCAAAATCCTTTCTCTGCTTCTGACTTAAACTTTTTTTTTTTTTTAAAGATTTTATTTATTTATTTGACAGATCACAAGTAGGCAGAGAGGCAGGCAGAGAGAGGGAGAGGAGGAAGCAGGCTCCCTGCAGAGCAGAGAGCCTGATGTGGGGCTTGATCCCAGGACCCTGAGATCATGATCTGGGTGGAAGGCAGTGGCTTAACCCCACTGAGCCACCCAGGCACTCCTGAAGATGCTTTAAAATTCAACCTGTCCAAACCTTAACTCTTCTCCCTAATGCAGTTTTATTTTTTAAAAGATTTTATTTATTTTATTTATTTGAGAGAGAAAGAGAGAGAGAATGAGTGGTGGAGAGGCAGAGGGAGAAGTAGGCTCCCCGCCAAGCAGGGAACCTGACATAGAACTTGATTCCAGGACCCTGGGATCATGACCCGAGCTGAAGGCACACATAACCAACTGAGTTACCCAGGTGCCCCCCTGCCCAATACAGTTCTTACTCCCTCTATCCAACCTCCATGATACCATCCCCGACCTCAGCCACATAAATAGGAGTCCAGCCTCTGCCTCCTACTACCTCCTTACTTCCCACAAGCAAGTCTTGCTTATTTTATTTCCTAAATAAAATTCAAACTTATTTATTCCTTTGATATCTTATTTCAGACCACTTTTCCTCTTGTTATTGCCTAATTCAGAAGTTACCAAACTCTTGTTTGGTGGATCTAGTTGTTAGACACCCTTTTTAAAAAAGGATTCTAGGGGCGCTTGGGTGGCTCAGTCAGTTAATCAGCTCTTGATTTCAGCTCAGGTCATGATCTCAGAGTTGTGAGATCAAGCCCTGTGTCCGACCCAGTGCTCAGCGCAGAGTCTGCTTGAGATGCTCTCTCCTTCTATCCCTCACCACCCCCATCTGTGCACGCACACTCTCTGAATTAAAAAAAAGAAAAGGGATTCTATAATCAAATATGTTTGAGAAGGGCTGTGTAACCTATGCCTGCCTTAGAAATTCAGAATGACCGTTAGCTTGCAGTAGCCCTGAGAAGTCATACAGTAAAGAAACCTGCTTAACTTTAAGTCAGGGTTTCTCTTACTTTTGTTCATGGAACCCTTTCAGTAAGGACGGGGGGAAGTCTTTAATTTTTATTTGAAAATTAAAAAACGACACTCCTCATAAGAGTGTGGCATCATCTCTGATCATTCATGATCTAACATGCAATCCTCCACATGTCATTTCCATTCTTCAGCCCTTTTATTAGCTATTTTCTGAGGAGAAAGAACCAGCTCTGTGCAACATGGCTTGTAAGGCCTGCTGGCAGTCTCCTTGCTACCACTGTCTGAAGACATCCCACCAAATCTGAAATCCGTATCCAGCCTTCCCCAAACACATCCCTCTCATACCTTTGGCTCTATACTTCCGCTTATGCTGTTCCCTCCACCTTGAGGATTCTTTCCCTTCCTCCCCTTATTCACCTGTTTCCAACTAGTCCTTCAAGACTTAGATGTGAGCTCTTTAAATGACCTTTCTTGGCCCCAGTTCTCTCTTCTTCCCCAAACATGGGCTACATTCCCTAAGTGGTCCCATTAGAGGATGTGATCTCTGCTTGGGCGTCTCCTATTCTCATGCTACCTACTGGTTAAGGGCTATTATCTTTCTTTATTGTTTTACTCTCACAGCACTCAATCCATGATCCATGAACTCAACAGTAGTGCAGTGGTCCTTTGATAACAATCAGGCAGGGCCTTCTAGAAGAAATCGGACACACCAGCTTTTCTCTGATTTTACCTGTCAAGTCACAGTCTGGTTGAACTCCGGACTTACCTATGCATGTTCTACATAGGGAGGCATAATTTGGTCCTGAGATGTACATTCATATGTTCTTTACATATTCTGCCTTTAAGTACCTGACCTTGATGGGGGAGGGTCAGGCATACTTTCTGATAGCCCTGCTCTGCACTTGCAGTGCTCACTGGCTTTTCTCTCCATGGCTTCCTCAAGCCCTTCTTCTCTCTCTCTCTCTCTTTTTTTTTTTAAAGATTTTATTTATTTATTTGACAAACGGAGATCACAAGTAGGCAGAGAGAGAGAGAGAGAGGGAGAGAGGGAAGCAGGCTCCCTGCTGAGCAGAGAGCCCAATTTGGGGCTTGATCCCAGGACTCTGAGATCACAACCTGAGCCGAAGGCAGAGACTTAACCCACTGAGCCACCCAGGCACCCCAAGCCCTTCCTCTCTTAACAAGGTCACAGGACAACAAAGGGATTAAGAGCACAACATGGGTTCTGGTTCAAATCCCAGCTCTACCACTTATTTAAAGCTCTGTAATTTTGGGCAACATACACAATCTGTCTCCTCAGCCTCCACATCTATAAAATGGGCCCAATAATGGTTCCTTGCCTTATATAGTTGCTGTAATCCAGAAATAGGGCTAAGTACTTTGGCAAATGTTTGCTCCGCCGGTTATTATGAATTAGGATATGCCAGGGGCTTCTGGCCCATGATTTATAGTATTTCCACTTTTACCCAAATGTTAAAACTCCCCAGTTTATTACCCTGTCTTTTCTAGGGCCCTTATCCTGCTTCCTTATTTTTTTTCCTCCCTCCACAGGATATTAATTCCATGAATGTAAAGGTTTTGTTTTGTTCATTGCTGAAAGCAATAGCACCTGGAATAGTATCATACACATTAGGCTCACAGGAAATACTTGTTGAATGAAAGTGGGAGAGTGTCAAAAAGAAAACATATCCAAAAGTTTCATTGCAATAAAAAGAATGAATCTTTCCATTCTCTAACGGGTCTCTCTAACGTCTTCCAGTGCTATATTTTAAAATACCATATGCCACAATGAAAACATAAGAAATTTATTAAAATTTGAAGGCAAAAACATAATTTTAAAAGACTTAGATCTATGTCAGGTGTGATACAGTATGGATGCTTTCTTGAAATTCAAAATCAGATCCAAGAGTATCACTTTCAGAGTGTTCTAACAGATTGAGTTTACTTTTAGTCGTCTTGGATGAAAGAGTCACTATTCTACTTTCTTTCTTGCCAGAAACATGTTTTTTCAAAGACTCACTCTTAACTGGTTCATTAACCAAAGAATCATTTTGTCCGATTCCTTTACTATTCTGATTTACAGGTGAGTCAGAGCAAGAATGCAGATCCTTTCTGGGCTGTTTTTTAGCACAATATTTTTTGGTATATTCACCTGTTTTGGTAATTTTCTCTGAAGAAGATCTGTTATTTCTAGACAATTCATCTTCTTTTCTTTGGCTTCCAGTTCCAGACATCAAATCTGCTGAAGGAGAACATGTTCTAGCAATGAATTCTTTGATAGAGTCCTGCTGCTGTTCATTGACTGGGACTTCCAGGTTGTCTCTAGAAGTTTCTAAGGGCTCCTGCGTGGAAACGGGCACACGGAAGGAGTCGAGAGGCAAAGGAATTCTAGCATCACCTGTAATTTTCTGAAACTGGAGAGAAAAACAAAAGATGACAAAACAAAAATTCAGTGATGAACAAAGTCAACCATTAAAAAGTTGAGTCCATAACCTCAATACTACTCTGTGATCGTATTATTAAGATAGTCGTTGATTGGGGGTGCCTGGGTGGCTCAGTGGGTTAAAGCCTCTGCCTTCGGCTCAGGTCATGATCCCAGGATCCTGGAATCAAGTCCCACATCGGGCTCTCTGCTCAGCAAGAAGCCTGCTTCCCCCTCTCTCTCTGCCTGCCTCTCTGCCTACTTGTGATCTCTGTCTGTCAAATAAATAAAAAAAATCTTAAAAAAAAAAAAAAAAAAAAAGACAGTCATTGGTTAGTCAGAAGATTTTAGACCCAGTTTTTTTCTAATTCTATCTTGCCCGTTGATTTCCAACTTAACTTTGCTATACCCAAGGCAATGACTACTACATTTTCAGACTTTGTGTCTGGGATGATTAGTGCTCACTTCCCTTTCCCTCATTAAAAATAATAAAGTCCGGGGCACCGGGGTGGCTCAGTGGGTTAAGCCTCTGCCTTCCGGCTCACGTTATGAACCTAGGGTGCTGGGATCGAGCCCCGCATCGCACTCTCTGCTCAGCGGGGAGCCTGCTTCCCCCACCCTCTGCCTGCCTCTCTGCCTCCTTGCGATCTCTCTCTCGGTCAAATAAATAAATAAAATCTTAAAAAATAATAATAATAAAGACCCATTCCCTAAGAAAATTAGTTTCTTTTCTATCCTCCAGGAACATGTAAGGAGTATCCAATTTGTGATGAGACTATTCTCAAGCTGTCAGTTCCCAAGCCTGTCTAAGGCTGGCTGAGATGGAAGATGAAGGGAAGGCTCCAAGGAAGGCCGGGAGAAAAGCAGATGGGCTGTCCGCTCTCGCTTCCCTAACTGGGAGGCTCCCTAAATTACACTGTCTATTAGTTATGTCTGGATTACTAAGTAGAGAAGATTATCCGTATCAGTACTTGTACCTTCATTAGTGTTCCTTCATTGTAAGCTGACTGCATACAAATAGAAACCTAGATGAAATATGAATAGAATAGACATTTACACAATTTAAAATTTGGAATGTTTTCTCTAATGTTTCATTTCTTTCTTCACTGAGGATAGTTTGCTTTATATCATACATTTGCAAAAGACCTATCTTTCTTATTTGTAACTACACGGTATTATGAAATGGGTCCGAACTTACTAATTTCACATCTGGAAAGGACACCCAAAACGCTCTTCCCAAGTATGTGAGTTAAATAGGGATAGAGCATCATTATTTTCTCTCTGACTTGGTAATTCCCTTTTGGCTAATCACCCGTAGAATCATTATGTTCTTTTCTATCCACTTACTTGGATATTTTGCATCTGTCCTAGAGGGTTCTGCTTTGATTCTGGTTTTTCTTCTTCAAGTGCCTTCTTTTCTTCCTTAGGCAGACTACTAAGAGTAGAATTCATCTGGGGACGACCCAGTAAATGAAAATCTGACTGATCTATACCAGCCATTGTGGCAAACTGCCCAAGCCTGGACAGGAGGAAGGAAGGAGTAAGAAGCAAAGGTTATTATAATTCCATGCAAGCAGCTTTGATTTCCCTGTACCTATAATCATGAAATACCCTACTCCAGATACAAGCCCCTATTCTCTCCCAAATTCTGAGCCCTTCTAGATTCATGCTTTGGGACCACATCAGCTCCCACAGCCTCTGCAACCACATCTCAACCACCAGCTGATTTCTTACTCCATTTCAGCCCTTCAGCTTCTAGTAAGCACCCAGTGCATCACCTCTCACCTCACCCCCACTTCCTGACCACCTTTCCTCCAGTTTCCAAGAACGTGTCCATTCCTTCCTTCCCAACACCAACCCCTTCACCCACAAAACATTACTCCATCAATTTCAATCTCCAGTTCTTTCAGTATCTTCCTTTAGCAAAATTGTTCCTGGTTGAGAATGATTGATCTGTATCTATATGTGCCCTGCAGATTAATAATAATTTTTGTGTATAGGACAAAAACCACTGTAATTCAAACATATTTTACAAGGAAGATAAATAAAAGGGAAGGAAATTCTGATGCATTCTGGAATATTTTCAAGTAAAATTATCTTCATGTAGTCTTTCCCCAAAACTATACCTACAAATTATCTTATCAACAGGTTATTATTTTATAATGGGCTCTCTCCTCTACCAAAGCAGGTTTACCATTTTACATTTCTTTTAATTCCTCACTTAAAAAACACCCTATATTACTCAAGACAACTATGGAAGCAATGAAAATTGCTCACATTTCTCAGTAAACCATATTATAGATGAAAAGAGAATCATGCCACGGAGAGAAATTAACTAACCCGGCATCTTTAAGGAGGTCCAAGAAAGCATGGAACTTCTGAAAAGAATTCTCAATGCTGCCCAAAACACCTTCATCATCCAGGATCATGCTTGTCAAGGACTGTGCATGCAGGGCTTCAGACAAAGAGAAGTTTATATTTCTTAACTGGGCATTTTCATGTTCCAGCTACAAAAGAAAATTGAAAATGTCTGACATGATTTTCTTCCATTGTCCTAAAAAAAAAAGTTTTTAAGCAATAAAACTAAAATAAAACAGTTCAAATGTAATTAATTTGTAATTACTATTTCTGTCTATAAAGACAGTGACTACATCACTGAAGAATCAAAACCCAAAGGGGCTGCCTGGGTGGCTCAGAGGGTTAAAGCCTCTGCCTTCCCTCTGCCTTTTGCTCAGGTCATGATTCCAGGGTCCTGGGATAGAGCCCGCATCGGGCTCTCTGCTCAGCAGGGAGCCTGCTTCCCCCCCCCCCCACCCCGGCCTCTCTGCCTACCTGTGATCTCTGTCAAATAAATAAATAAAATCTTTTAAAAAAAAATGACATAAGTGGAGGGGCTCCTGCGTTGCTCAGTAGGATATGCTCTGCATTTGACTCAGGTCCTGACCTTAGAGTCCTGGGATTGAGCCCTACATGGGGCTTTCTGCTCAGCGGGGAGCCTGCTTCTCCCTCTCCTCCCTGCTTGTGCTCTCTCTCACGCTCTTTCAAATAAATAAATAAAACCTTTAAAAAAAAAAAAAAGAATCAAAACCCAAATATACCCAGCAAAGTTTCCTATATAACACTTAGGTGGTATATAAATAAACCAAAGTAACTGTTTTATTAAGGATCTTTTAAAAGATCACTTTTCTAACTGGTTATATTCATAATAGACCCTCATTTACATTAGAAAAATTAGTTGCTTAAGGTTCGCTTTAAATTAGAAAGTGAATTGCTTCTCGGGCCTTTTGGCTAAGATCAAGTGTAGTAACTGTTCTTATCAGTTTAAATTAGAAAGTGAAGTAGTCTGATTTCAGCAAAGCATATTCCAACTTTGCTGGACATTAAGGATTAACTTTACTGAGCAAAATATTAAATGGCTAAGTTTAAAAGTCCTAAATCATACCCAACTTATTAACTGTACAATGACTAATATCCTCCTTGGCTTCTTGAAAATGTTTCCTCCCTCATGTGACCCCTCCCCCTCACCATCTATTCATCTAAAGCCACAGGTAAACCTGATTAGTATTTCTCAGAGAGGCTCTTTTGTTCATGACAGAGCTTGTACCTTACAGGTGCTCAACCTTTATGAATGAGTAAATGTTCGTCAATCTCATGTATGCACTTGGAAAAGTTCCTCCCAAAACTCACCTTAAAATAATCAATTACGTTTACCTACAACTTCTGAGCTTATGTCCTGCTTCCATGCACAGTAGCCTAATGTAATTCTCATAGTATATATTTTTATTTTTCATTGCATTCTTAGTTTTCCAATATTTTATACGTATTTATTTAAATTATTCAGTCAGTAAATAGTTTCATCATGTCTTTTATGTTACTATATATGCTTTATAAGCATAAATCCTTTCTTTTCTTTTTTCTTAAAAGATTTTGTTTATTTGACAAAGAGAAAGATAGATATCACAAGTAGGCAGAGAGGCAGTCAGAGAGAGAGGGCGAAACAGGCTCCCTGCTCAGCAGAGAGCCCGATGTGGGGCTCGATCCCAGGACCCTGAGAGCATGACCTGAGCTGAAGGCAGAGGCTCAATCCACTGAGCTACCCAGGTGCCCCCAAGCATAAGTGCTTTCTTGAACTGAAGCGTCATAAACAGAAAATAAGCTAACATCATGAAAACACACATGCACCAAAAAAAACCCCTAAGATTTTACTTTTTTTTTTTTTTTTTTTAATTGCCCCTCGCCCAAAATAGGTGACCTCAGTGCAGGGCTTGAACTTACAACGCTGAGATCAGGACCTGAGCTGAGATCAAGAGTCAATGCCTAACTGACTGAGCCACCCAGGCATCCCTAAGATTTTTCCATTTTAAAAACATTTTTTTGGAATAGAGATCATATGACCCCTAAATATAAGTAAATATAAAGGTTCATATGGTACAACCAATTCACAATATATTAGTTTTAGAATTTATAAACTGCATGTGTATGCCTTAAGATCAAACAAAAATAAAACCAAAACACTTTCAAAAGTATAAGAAAAAAACTTGTTTACCTCACTGACTCGTTTATCAGCCTTAAATCTTATTACTCTTTCCTCCTTCAACTGCTTTAGGCACTCCTCCAGTTTCTCCTAGTGTGAAAAAATAGAGTAAGTATTATAAACAATTCATAGTATCATATCCAAAAGCCTTTCCAGTTATAGATCTCACCAAGGATATAGGCACAGAGCCACAAGTAGACTCACACTTCAGGATTTTTTTTTTTTTTTTTTTTTTAATTTATTTGAGAGAGACACAGCGAGAGAGGGAATACAAGAGGGGGAGAGGGAGAAGCAGGTTTCCTGTTGAGCAGGGAGCTGGATGCGGGGCTCAATCCCAGGACCCTGGAATCATGACCTAAGCCAAAGGCAGACACTTAACAACTGAGCCACCCAGGTGCCCCAGAGTTCAGGATTATAATCTACTACTTATGATATCATACCGTGCTGGTGAAATTAATTACCAAAAATATCAAATTAGCATATTAAAAATTTATTTGAATCCAATACTTTTCAAGATAAATATGTGGCAGCTCACCACAAAAGGCATATGTGTATAATATAGTTAAGTCTGAAATAAATAAAAAACTAAGGCCAAAAAGGGAAAATTCTACTTTTATTAATAGGTCCCTTTATAACAGAAATCTTATTAACACAGTTAATCCACCCAAATTATGTTATTGCAGATTCAAATGCATTTTTTAAAAAGTAAACACTTTTAAAGCACATAATAAAGCCCTTAGTAGGAATTTCTGGGATATTAATTTAATCATCAAAGCCCTACAAGGAAAGAACAACTATTAACTCCATGTCTTTTTGCAGGTGAGAAAACAGAGGCAGAGAGAAGTAGAGTAGGACACCCAAGACCATGTCACCTAAGACACTATGTTGTAGAACCACATTCTGAACTCAGGAAGTTGGGTGCCATGCCTGTACACAGAAGTGGTAATTTCCCTATTCACCAATGTCCGTAAAATAAAATGCACATTGGTAACCCCCCTTTTAATTTCCAAGAACAAGACACTTAAAGTCCTTGCAGGGGTTGGCAGAATTCTAAGAGAGCCCCCCCGAGCCCCAAGATTCCTACCTGCTAAACTATAAATCCTCCCAGTTAATCAAATCCTAGTCTAGTGCTGCAGTGAAGGGATTTTGCAGATGTAATTAAGGTTCCTCAAATCTTTAATTGATCTTAAGAGATTATTCTGGTGGATGTGACTAATCAGGTGGCCCACTGAAAGGGACTGGGGTCTTCCTTAAGATCTAAAGTAAAAAAGGGACAAAGGGGGATTCTCTGTGGCTGGCTTGGAACACGTCAAGTGTGATGTTGTGGCAAGGAAGGCAGGATGGAGGCCTGTAAGAGCTGAGACTGTCCCCTGACATCCAGCCAGCACGGAAAGGAGGATCTGTATCCTACAACTCCAGGAACTGAGTTAGGCCAGTGAGCTGTGTAGTTGGGAGTAGGTTCTTTCCCAGAGCCTCATGATGGGAACACAGCCTGACTGACATCCTGAGTTCATCTTTATGAGATGAAGCAGAGAGCCCAGTTGTGCCATACCTGGACTTCTGACCTACAGAACTGGGAGCTCGTCAGCAGGTGTTGTTTCAAGCCACTAAGTTCACAGCAGCAGAAAATTATTACTCAACCCTCAGGTTCATGAACAAAATAAATGACTGTTACTGTTTTAAGCCACTATTTTGGGGCTGGTGTCTTATGCAGCAATAAATAAATAAAATACCTATATTTATTAAAACAAGGGGGCATATTTATATATTTTAAAGGCTTTTGAACAGTCACTTAAACAAAGAATTTCAACTTAAAATTTAGTTTGCCCCTGGTGCATGTGGGTTGAGGGGAGGAACTCTATTATATGCTGTCACTGAAAGAGGAAACTAGAACCAGCTTCTGGACAGTGAGTACATACCAATGATCTTACACCTAGGAATTTACCCTAAGGAAATCACCAGAGATGCGGCAAAGATTTATCTACCGACATGTTATATGGGACTGTTTTAGAACTAAATCCTAGAAGTAAGCTACAAGCTTCCAAATTGGGTTAGTTTAAATAAAAACAGCATACCCATTTGAAGAAATGCTCTGTGAAGCCACTAAAAAACATTGACAACAAGAGGTCTTAACCAGAATTAATGAATGGGCCTCAGGAGTTCTATATACTGTGTGTTTTTTCAGGGAAGATAGTATATAAACTTAATCTAAGATTCTCTGGTGTACAGGAGTATTTAGTGATAGGACAAAATATTTTTGGTATCTTTTTATGGCAAAAGGGTAGATTGGGTGTGTGTACATATAGAGGTGGCTTTGATTTTTTTCAGTAAGTTTTTCATTGTTTTAAAAATTTTGCTCAATGAACACACACTTTATACTCAGAACTTATGTTTAAAAATTTAAAAATAGTCTAATAACTTCAAATTCTTTAATGTTTCATTATACAGTTGAAGCCAGCCACATTTTTAAAGGGAACAAAGACAAAAAAATTACAAAATTCCTCTACTCACTTATATAATGGTTTTGATATTTAAAACTTAGTTCACAGGGGCGCCTGAGTGGCTCAGTTGGTTAAGCCACTGCCTTCAGCTCAGGTCATGATCCTGGAGTCCCAGGATCGAGTCCCACATCAGGCTCCCAGTTCTGCAGGGAGCCTGCTTCTCCCTCTGACCTCCTCTCTCTCATGTTCTTTCTCACTCTCTCTCTCTCAAATAAACAAATAAAATCTTTAAAAAAAAAAAAAAAACTTAGTTCACAGAAATTCTAAACAAACACCACAATCAAGGCAAGTACAGACTGAAATGCTCCATTCTCAACTGGCTCTAAGATGAACAGCACATTGTGCAATTACATGACATGGCTTCTCCCTCTAGTGGAGGGAGTTAGAACATCACGTTGGCTTTTCATGAGAAAGTGTACCCTCCTCCTCCAAAGTTTTAAGTAATTCATGCTCTTTAAAAAAATATGAAACCGTACGAGACTTGTAATCATAGGAAACAAACTGAGGGTTGCTGGAGGGGAGGGGGATGGGGGGATGGCGTAACCGGGTGATGGACATTAGGGGGACACAAGATGTAACGAGCACTGGGTATTATGTAAGACTGATGAATCACTGAATTCTACCTCTGAAACTAATAATACATTATGTTAATTGATTGAATTTAAATAAAAAATTTTTTCAAAAGCTCAATGTCTACATTTAAAAAAAATATTGTACCAAAAGATTAGATAATAAAATTACGTGGGGTGCCTGAGTGTCTGCCTTTGACTCAGGTAATGATCCCAGGGTACTGGGCTTGAGCCCTGCATCTGGCTCTCTGCTCAGTGGGAAGCCTGCTTCTCCCTTTCCCACTCCCCAGCTTGTGTTCCCTCTCTTGCTGTGTTTCTCTCTGTCAAATAAATAAATAATATCTTAAAAAGAAAAGAAAATTACATGACATTCGGTTATATAAATTAGACTAATGATCCTTCTTGTTATCTGCTCTCCTTCCCCTTCTATACATTGGCTAGTTTGATTCTTTTTCTGAAACAAAGCTCCCATCATACTATATCTCTCATTTTATGTTCAACCTTTTTCCATTGTACAGTAGACCAATCATTTTTTATATAATTAAGGGATTCATAGCCTTGATTTTTTAAAAAGATTTATTTTTTGAGAGAGAGCGGGCGCACCTGTGATCTGGCAGGGGAGGGGGGACAGAGAGAGTGAAAGAATCTCAAACAGACTCCCTACTGAGCAAGCAGCCCAACTCGAGGCTTGATCTCATGATCTGAGCTGAAATCAAGAGTCGTTCACTTAACCAACTGAGCCACCCCTAAACTTGAATTTTTTAATGGGCTATAAAATATTCCACTGAGCATTGTCTCTTGGTTCTATAAGCATTCCTGCATTAAACATTTAAATTCTTTCTAGCCTTCCAATATAAAACAAAATAACTATTTTTACACATGAAGGCCTTTTTCCACATGCAGAATAATTTTCTTGCAATAAGTCAATAAAAATGAGTTTAAGATCAAAACAAATGAGTATTTTTAAGGTTCTGTGATAATGATCTTCAAAAGATTCCTAAGATTTTAGATTGCTTTCAGCAATGTATCACTCGGTATATAACTTCTAGGGTAACTGTTGGCTTGTTTCCTCACTTTAGAGCGCAAGAAATTTAAGGGAAGGGGGTGTACCTTATCGCAGAATATGTGCCAGGTTTAAATTACAATAAGTAATTGCTGAATGAGATAAACTTGTGCCAATATGAGATCTATGTGTATAATTAACAGTTATACTTCTGGGGCACCTGGGTGGCTCAGTGGGTTAAGCTTCTGCCTTCGGCTCAGGTCATGATCTCAGGGTCCTAGGATCGAGCCCCGCATAGGGCTCTCTGCTCATCGGGGAACCTGCTTCCCCCTCTCTCTCTGCCTGCCTCTCTGCCTACTTGTGATCTCTCTCTCTGTCAAATAAATAGATAAAATCTTAAAACAACAACGAACAGTTAAATTTCTCTTTCAGATTGTATTTTTAAAAATTCTGAATCTCTGGCTAAAACCTGGCCCTACCCCTTAGCAGTATAACTTTGGGCAAGTTCAGGAACTCTAGGCCTCAATTTCCTCATCTCTAACATGAAGATAGGTTCCGAACACGACACAGTTCTTGGGAGGATTACATGAGTTAACACACACATAAAACTCAGAAGAGTGCTTGGTATGGAGGGTATGTTCAATTAATGCTAACGAATATATGTGAATGCAAATAGTAGCAAAGGACTTAAAATCAAATAGTCTCAACTCACTCACACATCCAGCCCCCTTGAGGCAAACTTTTCTTAAGCAGGTTTTAATTTTTTTAAGTAGTCTTTACACCCAACGTGGAGTTTGAATTCACATTTCCGAGATCAAGAGCGGCATGCTTTATAGACCGAGCCAGCCAGGTAGCCCTCTGGGCAGGTTTTAATTGTAAAATATGATATACATAGTAAAAAGTGCATCTTTACATGCATGCATCCCTAAAAATTCCCTTTGGTTTTCCCAATTCTTAACTTCACTAAAAGAGAATCATAGTATATCCAGCCTTCCAGTCAATATTGTTTTTAAAAATTAATCTATGTTGTTGCCGGTAGCTCTAGTTCGTTAAACTTTATTGCTTTATAGTTTCCCACTAAATGAATACACATAATTTAATTTTTGACTCTTAAGGGACATTTGGGCTGTTTTCAGTTGGTGCTAGTGCAAATCACACACACATCCTGTTGCAGCAGTTACTCTAGTACATACACCAGCTGGGCAGGGGAGAGGGAAACTGGTTGGGTTGTGGAGTAGTAACACAACTTAAGGCAATGAACAATGCTGAACGCTCTCTGAAGTAGCTATGTAGACTTATATGCCTATATAAGCAGGTGTGGGATTCCTATTATACTCCAGGTCTAGGAAACCCATAATTATCAGACATTTTTTGTTAATGGGATTGGAGTGTTGTGGCCTTTCATATTGGACACTTTTCTATGTTTATCAGCCATCTGGATTTCCTTTCTTTAAGATTTTATTTATTTGACAGAGACACAGCGAGAGACAGGGAACACAAGCAGGGGGAGGGGGAGAGGGAAAAGCAGGCTTCCCGCTGAGCAGGGAGCCTGATGTGAGGCTCGATCCCAGGACCCTGGGATCATGACTCAAGCTGAAGGCAGGTGCTTAACGACTGAGCCACCCAGGTGCCCCATCCCTGGATTTCCTTTCTTAATGAGCCTTTAGCCATTCTTATTTTCAATTCTTCTCTATTTCCAAGTAACAAACTTACCTGACCACCATGTCATGATTAAGTTTTAGACATTATTAACTTCCTACTTTACTAAATAAGATGTTAATTCATTTACACTCTTTTCCTAAGTCCATTTCTCTCACTGAAGTCACATCCCCATTAGTTTTTCCACTGGTCATGAACTCTTGAACTTGCAGTGATATCCTTAAAAATCTGTATTGTTGGGGCGCCTGGGTGGCTCAGTCAGTTAAGTGTCTGCCTTTGGCCCTGCATGGGGGGCCTCCCTGCTCAGTGGGCAGCCTGCTGCTTCTCCCTCTGCTTGCCACTAACCCTGCTTATATGCGCTCTCTCCGAGACAAATAAACAAATAAAACCTTAAAAAAATCTGTATTGTTAATTGACCATAAACTCTCCCAAAGTCCCACTTTGGGAATTCGACGTTCTTGCTTTTTTCCCTTCTTTCCACCTCTTGTTTACCTTCCAAACCTATCTTTTATGTTGTCAAAGCTGATATTTACATTTTGTTCTGTTTTCTGTTGAGGTGCTAACAGCAAATAGTCCCTGGTCCTACCAGGTATGTGCTTTCACTCCTTTTCTTCCAACCCCCCCACCTCCCACCCCGTCATGTTGCATGCTTTACTCCTCTCAGGCGAACCGGTTATTTTCTACTTAGGAACGAGAGCAGAAAGCTCCCCGGAAGCTCACGGTTGACTGCGAAGAGGTGGGTAGTCAGTTATATTAAGGAACCTCCCAAATACTCTTTTCTAGGGTGTACAACTGCACTAGGTGCCCTAGTTCTCCCCAGTTTTTTTCCTCAAATTTTTATTTAAATGCCAGTTAGTTACCACATAGTGTTACAGTGGTTTCAGTAGAATTTAGGGATTCATCACTTACATCTAACTCCCCAGTTTTTTCCAAAGTAAAATTATCTCATTTCAGGAGAATGAGGGTGGGGATGGGAGTCAACTCTCCCAAATAAAAACCTCCCACACCCGCTCTCCATATTTCAGTCACATTTTTACTAATTCCATCGTCTCCTCCCTGCGCATCTGAGGGTGGAGCTATTTCTGCCAGGGGGATCACATTCCCCTCAGCGGAAGCCAGTCCCTGTGTAATTCTAGGTTGTGGTGTTCCTCTGTTCACAGCTTCCCACCCTCCCACTTGTCTTCTGTCTTTGTAAAAAATGTTGAAAAATCCCTTCTCTTGATTGTTGTGGATATATTCTCAAAAATTTTGATACCAGCACTTTAATGTCTTATCAAAATGGAGAAGAGCTGAGAGGGTCCTCAGCACATCCTGAATCAGGTAATCCCTGGTTACAGTTCCTGACCTCCTTGGGTCTTCCCCAGTGCCTACTGCTGCTTTTAGAAGTACAATCTCCCTAGTGTCTTGGTGCCGGAAATGAACACATCTAAAATGACCATGACTGCAAATTAGACGGTCTGGGGTCTTGTCTCTACTGTGCAACTTAGTAACAAAGCACTTTAAGGGCTACAAATTGTAGGTGCTCGTTTAGAAGATAAAAGGGATAATTTGATATCAATTCCAGATTCGTCCCACTCGAACATTTTATAATTTCCCAGGTACTTAGCTTAGAATTTCCCTATGTTACTGTCCTTAATTTTTATTAGGAAAATAAAAATCTGGCTTTCTTTTTTAAAAAACCAAATAGTAAAAGGGGCACCTGGGTGGCTCAGTTGGTTAGGAATAGAAAAATTCCTTTTTGATTTTTCTCTGAATTCAAATGTCTATCTTTCACATTGGTCTAAGCCAAGGAATCGGTGAGGGAAAGACAGAAGCCATGTACAAGCTCTTCCAGTGTCCTGATCAGGCTTCCGGCTGCCCAATAACTACTAGGTTTAAAAAATTATCTCTGGATCTTTAAAGTGGTAACTTTGTACCTCTAATGCTTCTTGTTTTAAACTGGTTTTCTCAGGCTGCTCTTGAACACTTTCGGATGAGTCGTCGACCTCTTCAATTTCTGAGGAGGAAGGACTCTCTACTGTCACAGTCACCGGAAAATCTGATTGCTTAGAGAAAGAAGACAAGGTTGTAGAAGAGATAAAAATCAGATACCAAATATTATAGGACATTTAATAAAACTGATCTAAGGTATCATGTCATTATCTATAAATGTCTTCTACTACTTAGTCTAAAAGAAGCAATGACAAAGTAAAAAGACAGTGACTTATTTTTGCTGTCAATGTATGGAATTCTGTTAAGGTTAATATTTGGAATCATCCATATTATTTTTAATTTTCTTTCACATAGGCCGAGTGAGGAGTCAGGGTGAACATTTTCCTCAGACCAACTTTACACTGAAGATGAGACATTTACTCTCCACTGTACAAAAAGTCTGGAAGAAATGTAGTTTTTGGAGGAAAAAATCCATCAGTAGGGGAGTGGTAAGAATTAGAAGAATGATTAGAAAGTCAACATATCTAGTGAAAAAAAATTTTTTTAAAGTAAATCACTTAAACATACACAACTAAAATGGACCCATCAAAAATCTCATCGTATCCTCCTTCAGCCACCATAAGCCAGAACTACTGTAACGGTAACACAACTCTCAAGTTTCACTGCCACTGGAATGCAGTTTAGTATGTTGTTTCCAAACACTTGAAAACTGACCTGATCACGACCCCATAAAAAGTCTACAGATCAAAAAGAGGAGCGCTGGGATTGCCTAACTGCACAGAAGACAAGTCACTGAGGTGCCATTTTAACCACAGGCAACAAATCCCAGAGTACAGGAAAGTTCCAATGGTAGAAAGAGGTGTACACCCTTTCTTCTGGACATGCAGGGGGCAGGGCTCACAGCTAGGGTGCTCTTCTCCCCATCCAGCAGTGTTACCCTACTAAGAGCAACTCTGCAGTCTCCCAGCACAAGGGGGAAGGAGAACCTGACACTCTGACAGGAATGGCTGGTTCTAAGACCATGAGGCAGCAGGACAGGGAATGTGTGTGGTCTTGGTGAGAGAGGAAGTGCTCTGAGAGATGAGAGACTCTGGCTTCTTTATTTTGCCTTTCGGATCTGGAACTTACACAGATAGCCCTCAAATAACATTTCTTGAAAACATAAAAACATTCTTGAAAATGACAACTCCATGTGTTGGGTCAAGAATAGCGGTCAAATTCCTTTCACTGGGTTAACAGGTGACCTGTGGGCTGGAGAAATGGCTTCCCTGTTTACAGATGGAACCACAAGATGCCCAGTGTGTGTCACAGTCACAGAACTACATGGTGTCATTGGGAGAGCAACCTGACAAGTTGCAAATGGATTTATTTCAGAGAGGGAATGTTCCCTGTAAGGCTCTGTTTAGTCTAAAACACAAAGAGAATGACCTCCCTCTGTTCTCACTTAATCTTCTATATACGGTAAATATGAGAACTACATACCTGCAAATGATTATATACATCACGAGTTTTGATTAATGGAAAACCCCTAAAGAGATATCAACAAAGTAAGTTAAACATTGACGTGAACATCATCAGTTAATGCCAGTTAATAAAATCTGCTAGAATTATGTACAATAATACTATTAATAGTACATATGAATTTTGTATAAAAAAAATAAGCTCAAAATAAGGAGCCAGGAGGCTCTGCTACGGAGAAAACTAAACAGGGTTTAGCAGACTGGCTTGTCATAACTCCCTGAACTGCTGAGGGATGTCTTCACTTTCTACGTTCAGGTTGGTTTAGGCTTCCAATCTAACTTCTTTGACTAGTAATCATTCTCCAATTGACAACTCCTTGTGATCAGAATGGTCTTGAGATTAATAAGTATCATAAAAAGATGATATGAAATCACAAAGTCATAAAACTGAAGTGTAAAGACTGGAGCCTGGGAACTAGAGTTTATGCAATAATAATTCATATCACCATTTGCAATGGAGAGTACATTTATCAATATAATGTGAGCATCAATTATTTTAGAAAGTACCTACCTCAAGTCTTATTTAAAATCAAGTCTTTGTTTCCTTTTTTCTTTTTTTTTAAAGAATTTATTTATTTATTTGACAAAGAGAGAGACGCAGCGAGAGAGGGGGCACAAGCAGAGGGAAAGGGAGAAGCAGGCTTCCTGCCAAGCAGGAAGCCTCATGTGGGACTCTGATCCCAGGACCCTGGGATCATGATCTGAGAGGAAGGTAGATACTTAATGACTGAGCCACCCAGGTGCCCCAAGTCTTTGTTTTCTTAAGCAATTGTTAATCCCCAATTTCTTGAAAACTACCCCATAAATTATTTAAAAATAATCTATAGCAAATTAATTTACTCAGCAGGCCTAAAATTATAGTTTGACCATTTAAAGAGACTTTTATACTTCTAGGATAAAAATTGCTAGGCACCGTTATCCTCTGGATAAGTAATCAGCTAAAAGTAGTTAAATCTAATTTACTAAATCTGATTCACTAAAATGATTTAAGCCAGTTGACTGAGTTAGATTAAGTCTAATCCCTCCTCCTCATCCATTCTGCATTAAACTATTCTCCAGGCTGGAAATGTCTTTTTTCCCATTCCTTACATATCCAACTTCCTCCTCCTGCACTGTAGGGCCCTGCCAATTATACCCACCTTTAATGAAACCTTTACTCACCTGTACCAGTGGGGAGAATGTTATCTCTTCTTGACTCCCACAGGGTTACATTTGTTGTGACACAAGAAATAGCTTGCAACTCCCAATTATAACTGTTTTTGTTTTGTTTTGTTTTGTTTTTCTTCCTTCAAGGACTCATTAGGCAGAAGCCACAGGTGAGTTATTGTTTTTTCCTCTAGAGAAACCACTAGAGACCCCCCACATAATAGAAGCTCCAAAATGAAAATTTCTGAACAACTTAAGTTAGGAAGATATATACTCTACCTGCTCCTTTTTGCACGTTCCGCTGTGCGCCACGGCAGGAAACCAGACACGCCAGGAGGTAGAGGTTCAGGAGCGTAACACTCTTTACCAAGGGAGTGTTTTCTTCCATTGCTTACAGGTTTCTTCGTGGCCAATCCTGTTTGCAAAAGCATTAAAGGACAAAATCAAGATGCACTAAATGGTGACACAGCAATCATCACATGTTCACACTTTATAGAATAGGCACCTGCCAATGGTGCGAGGCCATTAATAACAGGATCGTTCTGTAAAAATGCTTTTACATAGACTAGCAATGTTTACACATACAAGTTCTCATAGAGTAACAAGTTATCATTTTAACTAAAATATATGAGATGTGCATAACATGCAAAAGTAAATAAAAAATACATCCCAAAGAATGAAACATGCACGATACACCTTATGTATCATGCAGAAACGTTCATTTTATTGAACCTCAGAATATCTTTGGTATTTCTGAATCTCAAAGATAGAGAAACACTGATACATCCCTGATTCCTGCCAAAGAGAATCTGAATTGGACCAAATTTCAACTTAAGTTTAGTTTTCCTATGTGAAAACAATCAAAGTAATAGGACTGAAAGCTGCTAAGTGGCAGGTAAGTCAATGCTACCCTCTGTAAGTCTGTCACCTTCAATGCTCATTTGATTTCATATAGAAAATGAAAAAGAAGTAAGACCCAATGGATGAAAGAGCAAAATATGGAGACTTGGTCCAATTTCAGTATTAAAAAGTCAAGTATCCTTATATGAAATGGTTAGTAGCAACAACTAGACCTACATGCCAATACTTTATTTAGAATAAACCATATATTAAAATTGACATTTAAATATTTTTTCTCTTACTCAAAGTAAGTAACATAGGTTTATTATATTTATTCCTCAAATCTATTTTACTATACTACTTTAGCAGCATTAGGGTAGCATGAGAAGTAAAGCATATGTAGCAACAGAGGGCAAATATTTCATAGAGTATAGCTTATTGATAATCACATGACCTTGTGTGATTTCTCTGGATAAATTTATACACCTCTTAAAATATATAAAAGTTCCATTCACTTTGTGTTATTTTTTGTTTTTAACTTAATTACTCTCAAGGAAAAATGTTCGTAGATTTGTGGTTTGTAGATGTACACTTCTCCCCTGACTTTCAGAAACTAATGCAAATACCATTTGTAATTAAATCCAAAATAATTCGCATGTATCTTAGGAGATACAGTTCCCATTAAAGTTCCTATCTTCTTTCTGCACACATGATTACAATGTGAATGTGACACAACTCACACATTTAACCCTATACTCACCTGGATCTAACTACATTGCCAGACACTGCTGTGGCTTACCTCTATGTCTCCATATAACTGAGGCAAATACAAAAAAAAAGCCCAAGAAATAAAATTACTCTTAAAATAGCTCAGTGAGCCTGTAAACTTCAGTTACATTTCCACTTTGTTTAATCATGCTAAGGAAAAAAAAAAAGATTTTTAATTTTTTATTCTCATTCCATGAAGTCCTATTATATACCACCAGATACTAAAATTACAGAAATCCCAATATAACATATATATTTTTTACCTATATATAATTCTATTTCTAATATTATATCAAGGGCACCTGGGTGACTCAGTTGGTTGGGCAACTGCCTTCAGCTCAGGTCATGATCTTGGAGTCCTGGGATCGAGTCCTACATTGGGCTCCCTGCTCAGCAAGTAGCGTCCTTCACCCTCTCCTCCCTCCTCCTGTCCACTCTCACTATTTCTGTGTCTCCCTTTCTCTAATAAATAAATAAAATCTTTTATCTAAAAAACAATAATATTATATCAAAATACCAGTTTAGACACTTTCAAGAATGTTTTACTCATGATGCAATTAGATTAATAAATCTATAAAATTAGATATAATAATATCTAATTACTGTGACATCACAAATCTCAGCTTCTTGCATATACTATTTTTTAATATATATTTTATATGTTTATATATTTATATATATATAAAACATATATATTTATATATATGTTTTAAAACATATACTATGTTTTAAAATAAAAATTGCTAGAAGAGTTGTTAAGCTTTCTTTTGATTTAATAACTCCTACTCAATATTTTATTGACCAAACAAGGAGATTAATGGAGAATCAAAAATATACCTTTTAATAGTAAAAAAAGAAGTCGTATTTATGGAGATGTTTACAGTACTATTAAAAAATTATATAATATTTAGGTTATTTTGAATTTTCCACTAATTTATTATTTATTTATTTATTTAAAGTGGGCTCCGCACCTGACATGGGGCTCAAACCCATGACCCCAAGATTGAGAGTCATGTACTCTACCTACTGAGCCAGCCAGGCACCCCAAGTCTTTCACTAATAAAAAATAGACTAAACTCAATGAAACCTTGTGAATACATAAAAATGTATTAACTACGAAATCATACAGAATTTTAATTCAATTTAAAATGAAGTGAAAGAAGAAAAATGGCAAATTTTATTCGAGCTCTGTGAAATCACATCAATATTCCATCCACCCTGTCACCTGTGTACCTACATTGTTTATGTTAATAGACCACAGGAAAAGAAAACTAAAATCTTAACCAAGAAATATATTCAAAATAATGAACTTTTTAAGAACACATCACTGGTTAATTTAAAAAATGGAAATATTAGCATCTCTTTTTAAAATTGTTTCTAATTCCATAAATTCTCATAATCTGTATCTGAACATTTACAGTCTTTCCTATAGGCAGTGTGGTTAATCCTGGTTGTTAATTGTTACCCTCAGTATCACACAATGGGAAGAGATTCTAATTTTAGCCATCGGAACACATACACGGCATAAGTTCTAGCTGCGTTAAAATGCCAGGAGAGAAAGAGTTACCAATTCTAATAGTAGCTTTCCCCTTCCGACCATTTCCCAGAATTATAGTTCTCTTTTTCTGTCTAGCAGTTTTGAATGGTTCCTTCACTGATGGAGAAGTTATCCACTGGTACTGGAAGAGAAATAAAAAACATTTATTTCAGTTACAGGTTATTTATAAGGGTTTGATCTCAATTGGAAATTAAGCTATTTTGAGTTAACAAAAGGTTTGCAATCTGCATTTCTGGGACCTCAAATTAAAGAATCACACAATGTTTTCAAAACAGAAAAGCCATTTGATTTGACTTAATTGATTTAAGATTGCAGAAAAATGCCTTGATAGTTTTATTTTACGAGGGAAAAAAAAAAAAAAGAAAAACACGCAATTAAAGAAAAATTCTTCCAAGAGAACTACAACAGGTTACCTCTGACTTGGCACTCCTTCCATTCTGGAGAACTTTTTTGATAACTGCTTTCATCACAGAATGATCTAAAGTAAAATAAATCGAAATTATAGTAATTGCTTCCCAATGAGCGGTTATTCCCTTTTAAAAACAAACAAATTATGAAAACAAATTACAAAAAAACCAAACTAATTACTGCTTTTCACATGAAACTAAATATAAAACCCACATTATGTGATTATATACGTATTTCCCCCTTTTTAGTATTCTAATTTCTTCCTCAGAAACCTAACACGAAAGTATGCCCCCTCCCATATTGCCCACAATGACTATTCTTTCGGCAGCAGCAAAAACGAAATCTAAACACTTTGTGTCTAACGTGGCTTTGGATAACTTTGGATAGAAAGCAAAAGTCTGGGCAATGTCCAGATGCTTAGGTACCTAAAGGGCATCTAGTCTGCCATACCAAAGTCCTGATATTCTCTCAAAGCTGCTCCTCTCATCAGACCCCCTTTCTCAGTGAGTGGTACCAACCGGTTGCACCTGTTATCATCCTGCACTTGCTACTTTATCACTATTTCCTTCATACCCCACACCCGATCTGTCTTATTAGCTACCCCCTAAAACACAACTGAACTGAACCGCTTCACCAGCCCCAACCTTCTACCCTAAGGCAAACCATAAACAGCCCTTATCTGGACTCCTGACGGGAGTCATAGTCTCCGGACCGGTCTCCCCATTTTCCTTCTTTATCTCTCCCCCACCCCCGGTCTATTCTTTACACCAGAGTCATCTTACTGAAACACAATCAAGCCTTTTCCAGCTCAAAACGCTTCACTCACTCAGAATAATCCATGTCCTTACTCTGGCCTTCAAGACCTTGTAAGATCACACCCCTGGCCAGCTCTGCGACCTCCCTGCATACCTCGCTCTCCCTCACTCAGAGTTCCGACCATGGTAGCCTCCATGTTTTCCTTAAATACTCCACCCACCCTGTCACCTACGTGCCTGTGTACGCATTGCCTCCAGGTCTCCCAACGGCCAGCCACTCTCTTCATTCAGCTTTCCCCTCAAAAGTAGTTTCTCCAGTGAAGCTGTCCCTCATCATATGGCATATAGTCCTACTGCCCCCTTCAGGGTCTTTACCTTTGGCTGTTTTGGTACTTCCCACCATCTAAAATCACACTACTTATCTGCCTACTCATTTCTACTTGAATTCCTCCACTAGAACATAAGCTCCAAGAGGGTAAGACTTTGGTTGACCCTGTTCACTGCCACATTCACTGCCTAACCTGTGTCTGGAACACAGAAAGGATTCAAAAATTACTTGCTACACTGAGAAATGAATGAAATGCTCTTTGCAGCAATGCAGAGGCGACAATTCTCCTGGTGGAAGCTAGCTCATAATCTAGGTTCGCCTTATTCAGTGGCAGCCAAGAGCAATTTACACGTATAACTCATGTTAGTCAGTAAATTATCTGCTAAAACACAGGAAAGTACAAGATTAGGAAAATACAGCATTAGGAAAGCAAACACATTAAGTTTTAAAAACTGTCAATACACGAACACATTCTGTTTTGTTATTTGTTCATCAATTAAAAAAGGAGTGACATACCAACGAGTGGATTTTTCCTTATATCCAGAACGACCAGAGTTCTGTTGGTTTCGAGGGCCTTTAGTAAAGCCTTTGCTCCTTCATTGGTGAGGCCACACTGCTGCAGGTCAAGTGCTTTTGAAGAAAGACAAAAGGTCACTTGCCAACTCTACACAGATTTGACACACATACAACTCTCACGTATTCATGTAAAAGCTCAGGTAAGATTTCTGTACAAGAAGTCATGGCAGGTTTTTAATCTTGGGTGTTGAAGAAAGAAAAATAGAAAAGTACATACACACACATATAATACAAAATCCAATAAAAAAATTCTTGGATGAGCCACGACTAGCCTGCTCTTAGTACCAATAAATGACCCAACATATTTTATAATTACAGAGGTGAAGAATAACTCTAGTCTGTGAGTGAAAAACCTCACAAAAGGAGTCTCAGGGGGCGCCTGGGTGGCTCAGTGGGTTAAAGCCTCTGCCTTCGGCTCAGGTCATGATCCCGGGGTCCTGGGATCGAGCCTTGCATTGGACTCTCTGCTCGGTGGGGAGCCTGCTTCCTCCTCTCTCTGCCTGCCTCTCTGCCTGCTTGTGATCTCTTGTCTGTCAAATAAATAAATAAAATCTTAAAAAACAAATGTGGCTCCTCATCAGCAAGGATGCTAGTGGCAGAGTCAACTTCACAGGCAAAAGCTGGGTGGAGCTCAGAGACCACGCTGCATTCTTTCAATACGATCTTGAGTTCCAAATCACTCTTAAAACTAGTTAAAAGGAAAAAGCCAAATAGCAGATATGTAGTAATTGTTAGTTTTAGAAAAGAAAAATAAAGACAAACGTCTAAGAGGGTATAAATAACAACAAATCCAAAGAATGTGTGAATAGGGAACTTATGCTAAGAATTTACCATGAGAGAATGACAGTCCACACTGTCCTGAAAAGGTCAAAGAACAGAACAAATGATCCTAATCTAGTAGTTCTGAGGCCGAACAACATACTCATTTAAACCAAAGGGATATCACAAAAGCACAAGTATAAAAAACACTACTTAGGAGGAAACTATCATATGAGCCTCCCCCGCTTTTAAAAAAAGATTTTATTTATTTATTTAACAGACAGAGATCACAAGTAGGCAGAGAGGCAGCCAGAGACAGAGAGAGGGGGAAGTAGGCTCCCTGCTGAGCAGAGAGCCTGATGTGGGGCTCGATCCCAGGACCCTGGGATCATGACCTGAGCCGAAGGCAGAGGCTCAACCCACTGAACCACCCAGGCGCCCCGTTATGAACCCTTTTTTAAAAGTATTGTATAAACCATTACACTAAAGTAACTGAGGTCTTTTAAAACCCCATGACACACAGAAATAAGCCAGGCATATGGAAACAACAGGATGCAATCCTCACAAACTTACCACAAAATGGACAAAGGATATAATTAACCAACTAGCCATATTAATAAAAATAGCCACTACATGTCACTAGTATGTAAACAGAATACGAATTAAAATAAAATGAGATTGTTCCAAGATCACATAAAAGGTCAAGATCACATAACAAAAACCTTGAAAATGTACATGCCGTTCTGACCTAGCAACTAAGAATTTAACCAAAGGAAGTAAGAGACGTAGGCAAGGACATGTATCAGAGTACTGTTTTTAACAGTGAAAACCTGCAAAGAGCTCATATATCTAGCAATAAACAAGCAAAATGGACCACGGCATATTCATATAATGGCAAGTCACTAAAAATGATGTGGGAGATGTAAATGTACGTTTACCATCTTAAGATGGTCAAACCATATTAAATTTAAAAAGCTATCAAGTTTGGAGTAATCCCACCTGCATAAAAAAGGAGGGGTTAAAAAAATAAAAATAAAATAAAAATAAAATAAAAATTAAAAAGGAAGGGTTATCACTTTTATAGCATTACAGTTTTTACTAGTGACACGAGCCAGCATTTGTGAGGGGAGAGGCCTCACGTGCACTGTTAAGGTGGATTATAAATTGGCACAGGATTTCTGAATGGGAATTCGGCAACGTGCAGTAAGTGATAAAAATATGTCACATTATGAGGTCTTTCCACTTTTGGTAACTTAATCTATAGAGCTACTGCAATGGTCATAGAGATGTGTTCACTACACATGGTTCCTGACAGAGCAAAGTACAAAGTGTTTAAAACTAATCGCAAAGGATGAAACTACTGTACACCGACATAATGGAGGACTATATGATGCATCATTAAGTAAGAGAAGAGCATGAAATAGTAACGGAACCATGAGTTCACTCTTCTAGTCTCTTGAGTGTATGAACATGTTTATAGAAAAACAAAACACTGAAGGTACGCTAAAATGTGTATTAAGATTATGAGTAATTTTGTTTAGTTACTCTGTATTTCCTATAGTATATGCAACTCTTAGAGAAGCTTAAAAGCACAGTAAAAGGTATTGGAAAAAATAAGGCTTAAAAAAATATAAATATAAATATAAATATAAAATATAAAATAATAAAATATATTTATATAAATCATAAATATAAATATTTATATTTAAATATAAAATATATTTATATAAAAATATAAAATATAAAATAATAAAAAAAAAGGCTTAAAAAAATCCCATGACAATGGTACCAAGCCAAAAGCTAAACATACTTAACATTTAAAAAATTCTAGGATTTACCTCTAAGCCATAAATCCTCACTGAGAGATTCTGCAAAAGCACTTGCGCCAAGGTCACCAATGAGCGTGTTGCAGTTCAAGGTGATGCGCCTCAGACCAGCCATACAGTCCAGATCAGGCCTCCTGTAACGAAGACTCTCGGCCCAGATTTCTTCGTGCCTTCTCATGGTCTGATACTTCAAAGATTTAACAGGATGAAATTAAGACATCTGGATAAGGAAGCAGGGTATGCCTACTGAGGACGGCTTATCATGTCAGACATTTATACGCACATACAAGCATATAAGCCAAGAGAGTCACCCCGAGAGGCTCAACAGTCAGTTCTAGCTCAAGAGTCTCAGGGACCCAGATTCTAATTTGCCAGTGATTAGATTCTAGCCAGGGAATGACCTGTGGCTGATTAGTTACATAAACTTTGACAATCAAATTACATTCTATACATTTTATTTTCTTTATCTGCCAAGTCAGGGAATTGGTTCTAAATTCTGTTATTGCTGAGGCTCTAAGTTCTATCATTCTGTCCTCCTGTGGTTTCCAGACCCTTGACTGGGCATCCTGCAGTAGACTTTCTGTAACATGGATCTACTTATTGATAAATTATACACACGAAGTTACACGTTCAGTTCTGCACATACACTTCACCTACGTTATAAACTACACGGTTATTTTTTAAATATTACAAAAAGAATATAGAGGTTCTGGTATTTTCTTTCCCCAGCTCAATGGATCTCACTATTTTAGAGTTTGCACACCAACTTAAGAGGCCTCCAGTATGCAAAGCCAGTTTGACCTCCCTCAGGAAATTGATGGTTTGATTTTTAACCACAGATAGAGTCGTAAAGACATATTCAGTTCTCTGTATTCATAAGACAAATTTTGGTAACAGGGAACACTGACTTTAAAAGAAAGAAATCTTATTACATGCTCAAACAACAAAAGACTCAAAGTTCCTATGCCAGTCTAAATGGAAAATCATTGGTGCCGTTTTTCTATGAACATTAACTTATAAAAGCAAAAAGTAGAAATCACAGCAAAACACTTTCACGGTGCTTATAATGTGCCAGGCACTATTTTATAAAAACTAGTTCATTTAATCCTCCTAATAAAGCACAGAGGCTAAGTAATGTGTCCATGGTCAGAAGCTATGAAACTGGTGAGCTAGAATCTGAAACTGGGATATTTGGCTTCAGAATCCATGCTGCTGACTGTTTTCTATATCTGGGGTCAACGGACTTGCTCTGCACAGGCCCAAATGTAAATTTTTCAGCTTTGTGGGCCATAAGGTTTCCGTTGCAAATACTTAACTCCACTGTTGTAGGACGAAAACAGCCACAGTCACAAAGTCAACAAATGGGCCTGGCTACGTTTTAGAAACACTATAACACCCGGTGATGGGCTGTTTCCAAGAACTAAAAATACATGAAAGTATTATTTATAATGTATTATACACTAGATCTTTTATTACTACAGTTAAATGGATTACCTTTCCTTAGTGGTAGAACCCCAAACTGAAAACTGGTAATAATCTTTCAACAAAACCAAAACTGTAATCATGTATATCAAAAGACAAGAAAAGATGTGCCATCTTGTATAGGAGTATTAATGTGCTTTAATTACAGAATATGTTTTCATGAAAGTTTAAACAGAAAGTCACCTTTAAGATCTTGGCCATGTGATCTGCTCCCTGCCATGTCAGATTACACCCCGTGAAGTTTACTGTCTTAAGAGTGATAGAGTTCTTTATACCTTGACAAATAACTAAAAGGAAAAAAAAAAAAACCACACACACGATAAGATGAAGAGCCCATACAGTCTGGTCAATTCTGACTTATTTGCTTTTTCTGAGTCTACCGGAGGTTTATAGCTGCAGTCTTAAAATCACTATCTACAATCTTCCCAGGCAACGGATGGATTGGTGCAGTCTAAAATATGTCAGTAATAAAGGGTTATTCTAGTTTACAGCAACAGTTTAATTTTACCTAGATGCTAGAATTGAATATTCTGAACCTGGCAAAGTTTATGCCCAACTAGTCAGTAAAGTACTCTGTACCTTTTGAGATATAAGAAAGAAAAAGAAAAACCTAAAAAGTCTAAGACTCTTCCCATATATTCCTATATTCCTATTTCCAATGATATAACCCAAACTCATTTATCAGTTACCCGTCAATTTAAATGTCAACTCTAAACCCAGAGTTTTATTAGGTACTATGCAATATACTAGAGCAATGTAAGACAGAACATGTCAAGTCTTAATTCCCTCAAATTAAAATGCAGCCTTCCTTACCACCCCAGACCACTAGTGGACACAGTGAACACACTAATTCTTCAGGACCCCAATCAACAATTACTTTCTCTGTGATTACTTCTATGATACCCACCCCCCACCAACACCACTGAATTTGCTGGCCTTTTATATACTCCCATAGCACTTTGCATGTATTTCCTATTTTAGTACAGAACACAGTGCATTTTGTCATTATGATTGCATACAGATGTTTTAACTATTTAAGGATAATGATTCTTTTGTCTTTACATTTTGCTATTTCCCTTCCCATAATTATTTCTTGATAATAAAAAGATGAATGAAATAATATAGTATATATTATACTGCATATATATAGTATTATACTACATATATATGAACAATATAGTATATACTTGTGTGGCTTGTGGCTTAACATAATCTAAGTGAAAATGGTTCGGAGAGTATCCAGCATGACAAACTTTCAGTGTACAGGTGAGAGGAGACCATGGTTTGATCAGGCATGGGAGACAATCCAGGCAGAAAAGGTACAGACAGCAATTAACACGCAAGCAGGGAGACGTGAGATCAGTCTGGTTGGAGGAGACTTAAAAAACATTGAAACTTACTTTCTAAACCTCCGTCTCCAACTGGGCAGTTTGCAAGAGACAGGTGTACCAGAGAGGTGGATTTATTCAATCCCTTTAATGAGAAGAAAAAGTTAAAATTTTTATGGGTTGAGTTTCCCCCCAAAGCAAATATCCAATGTTTGCAGGACACACTGGAGAAGCCTCACCTTTGTCAAGGCAGTCAAATCTCTCTCGCGCAGCACTAGTCCGTTCAGCTCCAGATTCTTGAGTGCACTTGATATACTTAAACAGCACTTGAGAGATTTACATAACTGGAAGGTCACATCTTTGTTTCTTATCGCAGGAACACGACTTCTGCAAACTTTACTTCTGTCAGAACCTAAAGCAAAATTATTGCAAAATATGTATTATCATCGTGAGAAAGCATCTGCTCTGTGTTCTTAAAGCCCTCTTTGAGGGACACATGTAAGCTCAAAGCATCAACCACACGAGATACAGAAATATAAACTATGGGTATAGAGGCTCCTATGAAAGCAAGATGCTATATCTAAGTGTGGCTTCAGGATCACCCTGAAGTTGAATCTAGAAAGGGAATGACCACATAGTCTGGGTGGGAGGAGCTTAACTGCAGAGAGAGCACCTGCGCAAAGACATCCAAGCCTGACACCTGCTGGCCATGGAAAATACTGCAGGTGGGGACGACTAAAGGCCAAGACACAAGGGGGAGGAGACAGAAATTACAATACAGAGGTTAGCCAAAGCAAGCCTCGGATAAAAAGCCTATGGCTTTTACCCGGAAGCTGATGAGGACAGAGGCTACCACTGGCACAGTAAAGGTGCCTCTGCAGGTTAGAAAAAAGTACCTAAATCAGACAGATTAGAAAAAGCACCTCTTCCTCAGGGTCAATTAGCCCCCTGGGGCTTGGCAGAGATTTCAAGCTTCTGTGCAGAGCAGAAACCTCGCAGCCCATACACAATAATCCTGTGCTGGTGAGCCCTTACAAGCATTATTTTAAGCATGTATTTTCATTTTAGAAGATCACTGAAGGAGCGCCTGGTGGGCTCAGTCGGTTAAAGTGGCGATTCATGGTTCCGGTTCAGGTCATGATCTCAGGGTCCTGGGATTGAGCCCCGTGTTGGGACTCCATGCTGGGAGTGGAGTCTGCCTGTCCCTCTCCCTCTGTTTCCATACCCCCCACCCCCGTCTCTCTCCTTCTTTCTCTCAAATAAAGAAAAACATCACTGAAGCCCAGTAAGCAGATGAACTGAGAGAAACTGAACTTAGAGGCAGCAACACTAGCTAGAAGTTGGCGAGATGAAGCGCCTGGGAGGCGCAGCTGATTAGAGGATCCAGTCTTGATCTCAGCTCAGGTCTTGATCTCAGGGTTGTGAGACTGAGCCCAGTGTTGAGCTCAGCACAGAATCGCTTGAGATTCTTTCTCTCCCTCTGTCCCTCCGCTGCTCATGCTCTCGCTCTAAAATAAATAAAATCAAAGAAAGGAAGGAAGGAAGGAAGGAAGGAAGGAAGGAAGGAAAGAAAGAAAGAAAGAAAGAAAGAAAGGAAAGGAAAGGAAAGGAAAGGAAAGGAAAGGAAAGGAAAGGAAAGGAAAGGAAAGGAAAGGAAAGGAAAGGAAAGGAAAGAAAAAAAAGAAGAGGAAAGCAAAGCCATCCTGGTGAGAATAAAGAAGCAAACCTAGGAGGTTGAAGTCTACAGCCTGGAGCCACTGGATGCAACAGAAAACAAAGGTTCAGGGAAGGAATTCTGAAGAGTGGTCTCTATGACACATTTTTCCTACGTTCAATGTGAAAAATTAGGCAAGATTAAGTATAGTGGCCTTGACTTTGAGGTCTCTTCCCACTGTAATTGCTTCTGATTACTTTGGATACATCGAGTCCCTTCAGAGGTGTGGAACAGTTACTACACCTGCATGAGATGAGAGAATAATGTGACTTCTCTTCACTAGGGGATAAATTGAAATGTCCTTGCAGAAGAGATAACAGATGATGTGAAACCCAGAGCCTAGAAAAAGCACATGACAATTGTTCAGATTTTTTTGGTTTTGGTTTTAAAGATTTTATTATTTATTAGTGAGAGAGAGAGAGAGAGAGAAGCAGGCTCCCTGCTGAGCAAGGAGCCCGATGGGGCACTCGACCCTAGGATCCTGGGATCATGATCTGAGCCGAAGGCAGACGCTTAACCAACTGAGCCACCCAGGTGTCCCAAGTGTTCAGGTCTAAAAAATATATCCATAGTCACCTTCTCTCCCGGATCTTCACATCCTGTGTCCTGGCTACTTTGTCTCAGCTTGTAAACATATTCAAGTGGGTCCATTTTATTTTCTATTTATTTTTTTATTTTAAGGATTTTTATTTATGTATTTACTTGACACAGAAAGAGAGACAGCAAGAGAAGGAATACAAGCAGGGGGAGTGGTAGAGGGAGAAGTAGGCTTCCTGCTGAACAGAGAGCCCGATGCGGAGCTCGATCCCAGGATCCTGGGATCATGACCTGATCGAAAGGCAGACACTTCACTACTTAGCCACCCAGGCGCCCCAAGTGGGTCCATTTTTTAAGATTTTATTTATTTATTTGACAGACAGAGATCACAAGCAGGCAGAGAGGCAGGCAAGGGGTGGGGAAGCGGGGGAAGCAGGCTCCCTGCTGAGCAGAGAGCCTGATGTGGGGCTCAATCCCAAGACCCTGGGATCATGACCTGAGCTGAAGGCAGAGGCTTTAACCCACTGAGCTACCCAGGTGCCTCCGACCAAGTGGGTCCATTTTAAAAAACATCCTTCAGGCTTAGGATTTTCTAGATCTTCTTTGGGGGTTACCTCAGTTTCTCCCGTACCTCAAACATTCCCCCATAAAGCCCAGATCTGCACCTGCAGCCCCGAGATGGCTAGCAGACATGCTGGGATGCCCCACCAGGCCCTCCTAAAGCATTAACGATGAAGTGAGATTTTCCTCCCAACCCAAATCCCCTCCTACTGTGCTCTGTGCCTCACAGAAAGATACCGCTATAAACTGTCACCCAAGCTTGCTGCCCTCCCCCGCAACTGGTCACCAGGCCCTGTCCATTCTATCTCTTTGATCTCTGAAATCCAGTCCTCCCTTTCTATACCTTAATTTGGGCTCTCAGATTACTATTTGTCCTCCTCCCAATCAACTGCCTTCCATATGGAGGGCACAGCAAGCTTCTAAATAAAAAAATCCATCTCATCATCCTTGTGTCTCCCACAACCATCGGGATAAACATCCAACTATTCGATAGGACAAACAAGGCCGCTGCCTGTGTGGCTCCTGCCAGGTTGGTTTCAAGTCTCAGGTCTCACTTCTAGAACCCTAAGTTCTTGTCCTGTACTTTAGTTTTGCCATATTTTTATATTTCTCAAACTTTCGCACAAGCAGCTCCCTTCTGCCATTTGAATAGCTTCTCACATCCTCAGAAAGGAGGCACCTCCTCCAAGAAGTCTTCCCTGAACATTCCTTTCATTGTTCTCTGCTTTGCAGCACCAGAGGTCACTTCTTCCAGAACACTGACTACTGTGCTTGTGTTTACTTGCTGCCTCCCCCAGTAGAAGAGGAGATCCTCTAGGCCAGGAGCCTTGCCTCCAACAGTGCTTAGTGCTGGCTGATCTCATCTAAGTGCCCAGAAACTTTATACAACTTGTGCAATTCTTTTTTTTTTTTTTTGGTCAAAAAGAATTTTAAAAAAAAATTCCAGTGTAGTTAACATACAGTGTTATATTAGTTTCAAGTGTACCATACAGTGATTCAATAATTCTGTACAGGGGCGCCTGGGTGGCTCAGTGGGTTAAGCCTCTGCCTTCCACTCAGGTCATAGTCTCAGGGTCCTGGATCTCTGCTCAGTGGGGAGCCTGCTTCCCCCTCTCTCTCTGCCTGTCTCCCTGCCTACTTGTGATCTATCTCTCTCTCTCTCTGTTAAATAAATAAATAAAATCTTTAAAAATAAATAAATAAATAAATTATTTTGTACGTTACTCAGTGCCCACCAGGGAAGTGTACTTTTAAACAACCTGTTAATTCTAAGAAGAGATGGAAAGAATAGTTTTAATGCCACTCTACAAGTGTGGGGATTGTAGTTCAAAAGTAACTCGCTCAGGCCACACAGAGTCTATCCACTATAAGATGTCACTAAAAATAATAATAAAACAAAAACAGCTTCCCCCCCCCCCCCAAGAGCTAGGTCTTACTCAAACCGAAACGAAGCAAAAGCCTGAGCTGTATCAGTTTTCCAAATCGCTTTGTTCTCTGTCAGGCTAACTCGTTCAGAAAACCAGGCAAGATCTGTCGAACGCTTAATGAGGCCCCAGACCGCGCTAAGTGCTCTACAAGCAATAACTCCGTGCATCTTCGCAATCATCACGTAAAGCGCGTCCTGTTGGCCCACATCACGGATGGGAACGCTGAGACCTACGGGGCCGTAACTGACTCACTCCGGGCCACTGAGCTGGTAAGAGTCCCCGGGGTACTGCACCCAGACCGCGGGAATGGCCACCCCGGCTGGTGCCCAGCCTCCACCGGGCACCGTCTAAAATCCCGCTTCGCCGCACCGTCACCAGGGCCCCCGAAGCGGGAACTACAAACCTGTTTCGCCAAGCCACGGCTGGAAGAAGCTCTTGATAGAGACTAGGGGCAGATCTTTATTAATCTTGAGGGTGCTCAGGAGCGGCGCCCAGTCCACGAGGCGCAGGCGGTCGGCATTGAAGTCCAGCACGCCCTCCCGCAGGCAAGAGCGCACCGAGGGCAGCGGCACCGAGTCCTGCAGCGCGCACAGGTATTCATAGTGCGAGAAGAAGTCGGCCGCACTGTCGCGGCGCAGCTTCACCGAGTCGATCATGGTCAGGCGTTGGCCTCCAGGGACGCCGGCGGCGGAGACAATGCCCGCAGGCGCCCGGGAGTGCCGGGTCGCTCACCGCCGGGCAGCTGCGACCCCGCGGCTACGCAGCACCGGCAGCTCAGCCGGAAGACGCAGGGTCCCCGGCCACAGCTACGCCAGACCCTCGACGCCGCGCTCCCGCACCGCCCCCCGCCCCCCGCCGCCGGCCGTTGGCTCCCGCCCGACCGCCCTCAGCCGCGCGGGACCGCGATTCGAGCCGGCGGGCGGAGCCTGCAGGGGTGGAGCGCGGAGACGTCAGCACGCTCGCTGTGCGTCAGCACGCAGGGGGAGCCCCGCCTCTCGTGGGGACCCGGCGTGAGATCAAGAGGCGGGTCCTCCGAGACGAGGGAGGTGCGGAAGGTAGGCGGTTTTCGGGATTTGAGGTTTGCGGAGAGGTTTTTCTGGTCGAGTAACAGTGAGAAATCGATGTAGCAGCACAGTTAAAAAGTGGTCTGAAGTTCTGACGGGTGTCTTGTTCGCACCGCCCAGGAGAGAAGACCCTTAATAAGGGATGTGCAAGCGATTTAGTGGATGTCCACTGCTGTCCATTAAATCTTTGCTGTGTTAATTCCTACAAGTAACTCTTCATTTTTGTAGTTTCGACTTACCTCACACGGCTGTTGGCATATTTAATGAGTTCCAAAGATTCAGGACGTTATTGCGATTACTAGTAATCGCTTTGTTTTGTGTTGACATTTAACTCTCTCATAATTGTATTCTGTCTTCTAGCCTTTTTTTTTTTTTTTTTTTTTTTTTTTTTAGTAAAACGATAGAAGTTTGTTAGATGAAGATATAGAAAAAGCTCTAGATTGAGAGGGGGTCCCGACAGGGTTGCCTTTAGGGTTGGTCTTTTATAGAAAGCTAACCAGGGAATGAAAATGCTTTTAACATTTCTTTCTTTTTTTTTTTTTTTTTAAGATTTTTAATTTATTTATTTGACAGAGAGAGAGAGCGCGCACGAGAAAGCGCAAGCAGGGCGAGCAGCAGAAGGAAAGAGAGAAGCAGGCTTTCGGCTGAGCAGGGAGCCTGATGCGGGACTCGATCCCAGAACCTGGGATCATGACCCGAGCTGAAGGCAGATGCCCAACCAACTGAGCCACCCAGGCGCCCTGCTTTTAACATTTCTATTGATATCACCACTGAGCAAGGACTATCCATAACACCTTCAATGGCTTACTTCCTTTTTAGGGTATGGTTGATTATCCCCCCGCCCTTTTTAAAAAGATTCTATTTATTTATTTGAAAGAGAGAGAGAGAGCACAAGCCAGCGGGGAGAGGCAAAGGGAGAAGCAGACTCCCTGCTCAGCAGGGAGCCCAATCTGGGTCTGAGTGGAAGGCAGATGCTTAACCAACTGAGCCACCCAGGCACCCCCCTTGCAAGTGATTATCATAAAAAGGCACCCACCCCACTTGCTTAGGGCAGGGTGGCTGGACCCACCCTGCACGCCCAAGGCATTATTTTCTTCTCAAAGGTTTTTATTTATTTATTAGAGAGAGAGGGAGAGCACAAGTGGGGATGGGGAGACAGAGGGAGAAGGAGAAGAGCACGCCCCACTGAACAGGGAGCTCCAGGCAGGGCTCAATTAGAGGACCCTGAGATTGTGACATGAGTTGAAGTCGGTTGCTTAACCCACTTGAGTTACCCAGGCCCACCCTCCCAGGCATTATTTTAAGCACTGTTTAAGTATGAAATAATTTAATTTTCCTAACAACTCCATAAGGAATATATGATTGTATATCCACTAAGTAGGTAGAACTCAGATAATTGGCCTCTGAACCTGCATTTGTATACAGTTTCTAGAACGGTGATAATCTTTAGGTGTTATGTTTATAGCATTCCTCTTCCACTATAGAGCCAAACTAAAATGGACTCACTTATGTCAGGGACAAAATGAAGATGGTCAATTGCCACACATAAAGGAAACTTAAATAATTACAGGAATATATAGCTCTGCTTAGAAATCAGCAAAGGACACCAGCCAGTCCCCGAATGCCAACTCTGATCTCACCTTCTCTGGACTTCCTTTTTCCCTTGACTCAGCTACCCTGATCCAAATAAGATAGAATACAACTAGGCAACCACTCAGCGGAAAAAACCAAATAACTTCTGCATTGCCCCATAAAAATCCCTTAGCCTGCGAGAGACTCAGAATTGATTGCTCCCAGAGGTTGAAGGTCAAAATCCTTGAAATAAGCTCATCTTTCTGTTTTGTTTTATTCAATATGTGGAGTTTGGTTTTTGACACCATCCACTGGTTAAGTGGGATCATTTTACCTCTCATTTACTGTATTTCACTGATCCATCCTGACATTATTCCCAGACCCCCAACCCAGCTTACTTTCCCGTGGAGCCTCAGTGCTGATGCCTTCTGCTCATCTCTAATACTGATCTTCTCTGGACCTGGTTTCAGGGCAACGAGTTTATTGGATCCAGTCACAGACCTGTTTGAACCTGGTCAACAACATAGGCTGTCTTATTTTAACTGCCAAGTCATTCTCATTTCTTTTTTCCATCCCTTTACTTAAAACAATTCACAAGGGCTCTTCCAGACCTCCTCTATTCTTTTCATGTCACCATTAGATACTGTGTCCCTGCTCTCTGACCTGAAGAAGATACCTCTTATTTCACCAGCAAAATAAGTTTTCAGGCACAGACTTCTTCAACTTCTTTCCATGAACTCTGGCTGCCTTCCAATCCATGCTTCGTAATGCAGCCCCGGCTTCCTGTTCGAATCCTTCCATGACTTCTCATTTCTCTTAGGATAAAGGCAATCCTCCTCACAATTGTTTAAGATATAGCTGCTCAATGTGGACTCACAGACTGGCTACAGTTGAGAATGGTTACTGTTCTGTAAGATGAGGAGCTTGCTTCATAATGTAAATGCACTAACCATCCTGTTCATTTCAGCAGATGAGATTCTCTTGATGATGGTAGCAGTGTGTTGGTACATTCTAGAGCAAGCTCCTTATCTCACTGTCCACTGGCATTTTGAGTGTCTGATCCCCTGATCCAGCATCACCTGGATGTGATGGAGGCATGATCTCTACAACCTCATCTTGCACCCCTCTCCCTTTCATTTTTCAGGAGTCTAGCCCACAGTGAACTCCTCTCAGACCTACATACTTGTGGTTCATTGTCCATGCTTTCCCGTCTACATGAATATTCCCTTCCATATGCTCCCGGTTAATGCCTTCTCATCCTTCTCATGTCATGTGTCACATTGCCAAGGAAACATTCCCTTACCTACCCTACTCATCAAATCCCCCAACCTAAGCTCTCATAACACCATGTCTCTCTCATTCATAGACTTCATCACATTTCACAGCCCATTTTTTTTATTAATTTTATTTTTTTTAAACATATATTTTTATCCCCAGGGGTACAGGTCTGTGAATCGCCAGGTTTACACATTTCACAGCACTCACCATAGCACATACCCTCCCCAATGTCCATAACCCCAACCCCCCTCCCCAACCCCCCTCCCCCCATCAACCCTCAGTTTGTTTTGTGAGATTAAGAGTCACTTATGGTTTGTCTCTCTCCCAATTCCATCTTGTTTCATTTACTCTTCTCCTACCCCCTTAACCCCCCATGTTGCATCTCCTCTCCCTCATATCAGGGAGATCATATGATAGTTGTCTTTCTCCGATTGACTTATTTCGCTAAGCATGATACCCTCTAGTTCCATCCATGTCGTCGCAAATGGCAAGATTTCATTTCTTTTGATGGCTGCATAGTATTCCATTGTGTATATATACCACATCTTCTTTATCCATTCATCTGTTGATGGACATCTAGGTTCTTTCCATAGTTTGGCTATTGTAGACATTGCTGCTATAAACATTCGGGTGCACGTGCCCCTTCGGATCACTATGTTTGTATCTTTAGGATAAATACCCAGTAGTGCAATTGCTGGGTCATAGGGTAGTTCTATTTTCAACATTTTGAGGAACCTCCATGCTGTTTTCCAGAGTGGTTGCACCAGCTTGCATTCCCACCAACAGTGTAGGAGGGTTTCCCCTTTCTCCGCATCCTCACCAGCATCTGTCATTTCCTGACTTGTTAATTTTAGCCATTCTGACTGGTGTGAGGTGATATCTCATTGTGGTTTTGATTTGTATTTCCCTGATGCCAAGTGATGTGGAGCACTTTTTCATGTGTCTGTTGGCCATCTGGATGTCTTCTTTGCAGAAATGTCTGTTCATATCCTCTGCCCATTTCTTTTTTTTCTTTCTTTTTTTTTTTTTTTAGATTTTATTTATTTATTTGTCAGAGAGAGAGAGAGAGCAAGCACAGGCAGACAGAATGGCAGGTCCTCTGCCCATTTCTTGATTGGATTATTTGTTCTTTGGGTGTTGAGTTTGCTAAGTTCTTTATAGATTTTGGACACTAGCCCTTTATCTGATATGTCGTTTGCAAATATCTTCTCCCATTCTGTCAGTTGTCTTTTGGTTTTGTTAACTGTTTCCTTTGCTGTGTAAAAGCTTTTGATGTTGATGAAGTCCCAATAGTTCATTTTTGCCCTTGCTTCCCTTGCCTTTGGCGATGTTCCTAGGAAGATGTTGCTGCGGCTGAGGTCACAGCCCATTTAAGATAGAAATAGAGATCACCATATGGTCCATGAGGAAGAGATCATGTCTGTTTTGCATCTCCAGGGACTAGGACAGTTACTACATGCTACATATAACTGTAGCACTAGTTACAATACTTCTTAAATGAACAAATGAATGTACCTAATCAATCATCAAGCTCTGGCAGTTTTTCCTTTATAGCATCTCTCGTACTCCTTTCTTCTATTTGCATTGCCATTATTCGCCATTTATTATCTTACATGTGGATTGTGATGATTGCTTCAGGCTCTCCTTACATCATTTATAAAGCTTCCCAAGGTTCATGGGTCATCCTGTTGCCCTGCCCAAACCTTCCATGACACCTGTTGCCAACACAACAAACCCCTAACTTTTAAGAATGACATTTAAAACTTTCCACGGTTTGGCTTTAATTTCACTTACCCGGCTTGTTTTTAATCTATGGGTCTAATTATCTCTACATCTTTGCTTCCTTCCAGCTCTGTGTATTGTGTCAAA